AAAAAAAATTGATATGTAATATCTTCTATTGGGATTTGTAGTTTCATGGGGAAAGGCTTTTTAATTCTTCAGTTTAACACTATTATGCAGGAAAAAACTCCTTTAAAAGGTTTAGAAAATAAGTATAAATTCATATGAATAATATAAGTAATAGGTAAGCTACTTCTCAGAGACAGTATCATGAAAAAAAGGTTATAGATATCTTTTCATTTGTACCCTGAGACGTTATGCACCAGAGACAAATTCCTTGTGTGTCCAATCACACTTGGCCACTAAAGAATTCTATTCTATTCTATTCTATTCTATTCTATTCTATTCTATTCTATTCTATTCTATTCTATTCTATTCTATTCTATTCTATTCTATTCTAAATTTGGTGCATTGTTATACGATTATACATGACCCCTTTGAAAATCATAATACAAATTGTGTTGTGAATCTCATAACAATGCCTTCAAGATCTGAATTGTACATTCACACTGGGTTTATGATCACATTTACACTGCACATGAGAGACAGCGTATATCAAAATAAATGTGACATGACTTGTAAGCATAATAGTGTTAGCAACAGTAATTGTGCAAGTGCAATATAAAATATTTCTTAGCAGAAAAGATGATGGCTACCCAGTATCTGTTCTTTAGTTATATATCCACGAGTGAAAGTAATGGAACAATTGCTGGAAATGAGAGAAGTCCTCTACCTTGCATTGTTCTCTTGATGAATAGTTATTGCACATAAAAGAACTATGTAACATTTAGTGGCTATTTAGCATTATGTCTTTTGTTAGTAAAATTTTAAAAACCTAATATACATGGTTGTTCCACATGTTGAATGATACTGAATGATAGTTCTTTGGATACATAAGGGGAAAAGTGTTGCTCAGCTGAATAGGTTAGAAAATTTCTGCACAATGAAAATCAATAAATCACAGGATATAATACTATACACACTCTTTGTGCACACACAAAAAAATCTAAACTAGCTATATATTTTCTACAATATGAAAGCAGTCTATGGTCCATATATGGTCCTTGCCATCTTTCTTTCGAGTTTCTAGGGACCACTGAAATTGTAATGCTGGAACGTGGTGACAAATCAACATGAGATATCTCCATTTTTCCAACCAGATTCAAGAAAATGACAAACAAGCAAACCCCCAAACTCAAATTAAAATTTGACCCGTCAGTAGTATGACAGTGATATCTTAATGCAACAAAATTATGTGTTCTATAACCTGAAAAATTGAAATCTATACATTACATACATACATATTTGTATATCTAGACACACACACACACACACACACACACACACACACACATATACATATACATATACATATATATATATATATATATATATATATATATATATATCCTATTTCCGTAGAATATATATGGTGAACTCACAAGCAATAACTCATTTGTCCAGAAGGTAATGCTGAGATTTCACAACACTAAGAATGCAGTGAAGGATTTACTATATTTTACAAAAGTTCTAATGTATCTCTTTGAAAATTAAATATTTTCTTGTATTAGAATTTTTGAATACAATGAACTTTACCACCAAGTCTATCACTATTGCTGTAGAAGTGGTAAACATCTTAATAAGTAGCACTTTATGCTTTTAATTTGACACAGTGATAGCAAATGTGTCAGATTTGGTCTTATGAGCTTCCAAAAGAGTTTTGTGCCTCTGTATAGACACAATAGACCAGGTGGTGTATTTACCAGGTGGGTGGGTGGAAACTAGAGGAACTATAGTTCAGTATAGATGCCTGACAGCAGGTTGACAAAGGCTGGTGTCAAACTAAGGCCAAAATTGCCAATGCAATTAACCCAAAACATTGGATAATGTTTAATAAGAGCCATTTTAGAGAAAGCAAGATGTAAATTATATTACAAAATGTGTACAGTAATTTGAATCATTTGACATCAGCACTATTTTTATGGTATTAGTGACCTCATCACAAGCAGGGTCTATCCGCTTTCTTTATGATTCAACTTCCAGCTGGTTTTCAGCATATATTTTTGCATCCTCTGCAAACTAAGAAGAAAATAAGGACATCTCCCCATCTAAAAATCTTGCTTCAAATTCTTAAGATTTTTTATTCCAAACTTCCTCTGAATTGCTGATCTTCAGCTTCCTTTAACTTCTTCAAGGTTGTATTTTCTTTGGGGGCAATTGGAAATTTGACCAGAGCTATAAATCTGGGAATGTAATGTATCATGGGATCAATTGTGGAGATCTTGCCCTCTGCTTGAGTTCCCGTTCATAGAAGGAATAGCCTAAAATATCTCCAACCAACTATTATAAAGCAACTAAGGAAAAAATGTGTTCCTCAGCAAGGAGCATAACTGTCTCCAGATCAAGGGAAAAGTTGAAAGGCTTTGTTTGGTTAAAGAATAGCCACCTCCCTACTCTTCCAGTCATCTCCTGCACTGCAAAGTCTGTAGACTCCAAAAGAAATCTGACAATATGCTAATCTGATAATAAAAGTGACTTCTGATCTGTTATCTGTTCAGCTGACAGTGAAGTACAGAGACGGTTGTCTAACCAGACAAAATGATAGAGAAAATATGCTTTCAAACAAGGGCATAAATCTCAGATGGCACAGATGAACTATTAAAATGGAATAGTTATAGTACCAATACTATGCACTAGCCTCATTTTACCTCCATTCCTCCATCTTTTCCTTTCACAGATGCATGAACGAGGATGTACCCTGTCAAGCTAATAACATAGAGTTAAGAGGGTGGCAATATCTCTTATACCTAGATCAGAGTTTCCATCACAAGGGAGGGGGCAGAAAAGAAAATAATGGCTAGTATGAATCTAGGAACATACTGTACAGGCACCAAAGTTTGCATATTGCACTTGGTGCCTGAAGATCATAAATCTATGCATGAGAAAGATGTAGTGGAAATTTTTTGGGGGGATTAGAGTTTATTTTTGTCATCTCTGTGAGACAGCTACTCATTCATCCAGATCACAGCTAAGAAAAAAAGCTGGTCACAGAAATTAGCAGTTTCAGCTCAGCAGCAAAGTCGCCAGCCTGTGAAGGCAGAGAGAAATTGACTAATTAGCAATGCGCACTAAAACTTGACGGTTCTTTATAGAGAGAGAGACGAGAGAGAGGAGAGAGAGAGGCAGAGGAAAGGAGGGGGGGTCGCTTTCTCCCCTTCTTTCTTCCAAAGATGTTTGAAATCGCAGTCATTTACGCTCGACAATTTTTACAATAGCCTTGAGCCATAATTTTGCGAGTCTCTCCAGCATCCATCCCCCTGTATGGTCTCTCTCCACTGGCCATGCACGACCGTTTCTCTCCCCAACCGTGGATTTCCTATTACTCTCGTTACGACTCACTGAGCCCCAGGCCCAAGGATAATGATGTGTTGTTTCTTGGTAGCATAATTTGTCACACGTACATTTTTTCTTCTTCTTCTCTTGCAGAAAGCTCTGCGCGCTCTCTCTTTCTCTCTCCCCTTCTCCCTCTCGTACATTTTCTTGCTGTTGCTAATTCATGGTGATCAAATGATGTACGACAAAATAAATTGTAAAGAGTGACTGCTTGGAATTGGGAACAAGAAGGTTTTTTTGTTTTTGTTTTGAAGGAGCGATCAAACCTTTAAAAAGGAAGGACAATTGATTTTTTGGGGGGGAGCTTAAGTGAACCTTTACTTTGGCAGCTGGTTGTGAAGCAGGTAAGTTTCTGGCCTTCGGTCTAACCGTCTTGGCTGTATTTTCTTGTGGCTTGTTTATTGTCGTGAAGACGGTGTATGCCTGTGTGTGTGTGTATGCGCGCGATTTCTGTGGACGAGAAGTACGGAGGGGGCACTTGTATTGCACACACGTCTTTGGAGAATAAACTCGAATTGTAAGAAATGGCCAGAGGAGGGAAGAAAAGGGGAGGGAGAATGGGAGGTGTGTATATGTGGATGGAGGAGAGGAATGACCAGATCCACTTAAAGGGAGAGGCTCTTGGAGGTTTCTTAAAACCTGACTGTTGGGAGGGAAGGAAAGTGGCCGGCGAAGGGGACTCCCCCGGTCGCAGGAGAAAGCGCGGAGTGCAAGCACTGCCGAAAAAAGGGGGACGGTACAATGGAAGTAGCAATCCTCGCTGGAATCCTGCAGAGGAGAGGCGGCGGCGGCACTTGCCGTGCTGTGGCGGGCTCTGCTCTCCCCGAGGCGGGCTAAAGCCACCGCGGGTCCCTTTCCTCTTCACCACTAGCAGGTGCAACTGGCAGCAGGTCTTTTAAGGCTCGTCTTTTTCATTCCCCGCCGCCTCCGCCCTCAGAGTCCCGCGACTTTGGCAGGGGCGCTCTTGGCTTCCGCTTTCTCGCGGCGCAGGGGCACTTTTCCCGCCTATATTTTCCTCCTCCTTTTTCCCAGTAGCTCCCAGGCCCTCCGAGCTCGCTCCCCCCCCCACACCTCCCCGCCCCCGAAGTTCCCAGAGTTGCCCGAGTTAAAGCGCCGCCGCTTCTCACCCCCCGAAGAAAAACCCAGGCCGGACAAAATGAGCACCGGGCGCAGAGGCGAACTGGCCAGCCTCTCGCCCCTTTGCCCGGTGTTAAAATGCAGCAGGCGCGAGGAGGTCTGGCCAAGAGTTCGGTGCACGCGGCTGCGCTCCCCCTCGCTCGGCACCGAGAGCCTTCCCCTCCCTCTTTTCACGTAGTGCTTCAAGGCGAAGCGTCTCCCTCTCTGCAGAAACAGCGGCTTGCAAAGACGGGAAAGGCGCAGTTTGGGGGGAAAGGGGAGGGGCATCCGAAGGGGGCAGCTCAGTCAGCTTGGCTCAAGTGATGGCCTGGCTCTGGACTTTGGAAGGACGGGGTGGCTTCTTTTTCCTGTCCTTTCCTTCCCGTTGGGTCACCGGGTAGCCGTTCTGCGAGCTTTCCCAGCTTACGGAACAACAAGCCCAAACTCTTCTCTCTCTCTCTCTCCTCCCCCCCCCCACTTTCCGCTCCCCACCCCCCACCCCCGGCATGGGAAATGCCCCGTTGCAAATTAGACAGCAGGCTGCTCGCAAGTGGCGCGCGCGTCTCGGTTTCTAGGCGGAAAGAAAGTAGTTGCCCGCAACCCCCACCCACTTTGGGGAGGGAACCCGTCTCGCCTGCCGATGAAGGACGAAGCCCCTTGGCGGGGGGTGCAGAAAATGTCATGCAGCCCGAAGGCTGCCGCGATGGGGGGAAGGGGACGGCTGGATAGGAAGCCTCTCGGCTCTTGCAAGTCGGGTGGGCAAGCCAGGCCTGTAAAGCTCCATGTTGATTACTCTGTGTGCCCCCTCCCAACCACTCATTTCTCCTTATTCCCCCACCCCCGCCTTGCCCCTCTTTGCCCAGGTCGGAGGTGGGTTTCCAGTCAGGTGCGCTGAGGCTGCTCGCCATGTCACGGTCCGGGGACAGGACGTCTACCTTCGACCCCAGCCACAGCGACAATCTGCTTCACGGCCTCAACCTGCTGTGGAGGAAGCAGCTCTTTTGCGACGTGACCCTGACGGCCCAAGGCCAACAGTTCCATTGCCACAAGGCCGTGCTGGCCTCCTGCTCCCAGTACTTCCGATCGCTCTTCTCCAGCACCGCCGGTGGAGGAGGCGGGGGAGGCGGCGGCGGCGGCGGGGGGAGCGGGCTTAATCACCCCTTGGGCGTTGGACCAGGAGCTCAGGACGGCCTGCTTCCGAAGGATCAGCAGCAGCAGGAGGAGCCCGGCACGCCCTCCTCCTCTCCGGAGGACAAGCTGTTGGCCAGCCCTAGGGCCATCAACAACCTGGTGTTGCAAGGCTGCTCGTCGATCGGACTGCGACTGGTGCTCGAGTACCTGTATACCGCCAACGTGACCCTCTCCCTGGATACGGTGGAGGAGGTCTTGTCGGTCAGCAAGATCCTGCACATCCCGCAGGTCACCAAGCTGTGCGTTCAGTTCCTCAACGACCAGATTTCCGTGCAGAACTACAAGCAAGTGTGCAAGATCGCAGCCTTACACGGCCTCGAAGAGACCAAGAAACTGGCCAACAAGTACCTTGTGGAGGACGTGCTGCTGCTCAACTTCGAGGAGATGCGCGCCCTGCTAGACTCCTTGCCTCCCCCGGTAGAATCGGAGCTGGCGCTCTTCCAGATGTCCGTCCTGTGGCTGGAGCACGATCGGGAGACCCGCATGCAGTACGCCCCGGACCTCATGAAGCGCCTACGCTTTGCCCTTATCCCGGCTCCGGAGCTTGTCGAGCGGGTCCAGTCGGTGGATTTCATGCGTACGGACCCGGTCTGTCAGAAGCTACTTCTGGACGCCATGAACTACCACCTGATGCCTTTCAGGCAGCACTGCAGACAAAGTCTGGCCAGCAGGTAAAAGAAAGGGGGAGGGGGTGGAATTCAGCACAAACCTAGTATTTCACAGGGCATTAACTAAGTACCATATGAAAGGGAAAGTTCAAAAGTTGACTTCAGCTGTAAGCAGCTAAGGGAGTGCCTGAGAGGGACTTGCTGAGTAGAGTTTAAGGGCGTGGTAAATGTACCTCCCATAGGTATTGTAGGAAAATAGAAAACAGCCCAAAATATATTCTGGCAACAATCACAGATATATAACTTAGGTCCCAAAAAGGAACATCAAGGAGCAATTGTTAGTTCATCGCCTTTGAAATTTGTTGTTTGGTGAGTTTGCTTATTGAAAGTTTGCAGGATTGGACAGAATCTACTATTTTTGACAAGGACTGTTATCTTAATACAATGATTTAAGAAAAGCTTCTGAAGAACAACCAAAATGATTACCAATGCATTTCCCCCTCCCTTTTTCTGGAAGAGATGCTGTTTGGGTATTTGAAGAAAGCAAGTTATGGAGTCCTCCTCCTCCTAATTATAGGGCTTATTAATTTGAGGGACAGGAGAATGAACTATTGGAGAAGATGTATAAGAAGAGCCTATTGAGAGCAAAGAGAGTAGAAGTTGAGGGGACAGCCCTAGATAACATATTGTAGTGTTCTTCAGGCTCTATACTGTTAAATGGATTTAAAATGCCTTGTCCATCCAAGTAATTTTAGAGGAGCTGTGGGCAATACAGCAAGTAAAGTTGGTGACAGGGGAAAGTGAAATGTGCTGGATAATTCAGTAGACATCTCTTAAAATACAATATGGGAAGAAAATTAGATAGGCAAGCAGCCATGCCTTGGTACCATTAGTTTTAAATCCCATTATGACCTCCCCGGGTTCTCTGGGTCTTTTTTACTTAGAATTAGTGTTTGTTATCTGTGACCACAAAAATAACATATGTTGTGATGCTGCATTAAATATAAATATGATATTTAGTTACCAGAACATGCAATTAATTATGGTCTCTTACCTTTTTTCCAGTTTAACATTTTGTGATTTAAAATTTAAAAAAGCAAATCAGAAATGGAGTAGATTTTAAATGCTATAGTCTGAGTTTATATTTTACAATTAGATTATGTATATACTAATACTAGAGATAATGAAATAATCCCTGCTGTATTGAAAAAATTGATTATCATGTCTATGACATCAGCAGCATTTCCCTTTAAGTGAGTAAAGCTGTAAATATATCAGAGTGGAAAGTGTCTCATACAAAATTTTAAACGGATAATTTAGGAAATAAATGTACAACATAAACAGAACACACACACATATAAATTATGTTTCATATTAACTAAACCAACTGAAAGTTTACATATATCAAACTTTTACATTTTTCTATACAAAGCAGTACTTTCTGACTGAATGTATCAAGAAATAAATCAGATTTGTAGTGTTTTGAAGTGTGTTTTGTTGCTTTGTGTAGAAGAAGTTTATATGGCATTCAGTAAGTGATACCTGAAGAATTTCTCATGTTCCTTTCTTGAAGGCTTTTTTAAAATACCCAACTGCATTATGAACTATTAAGTATCTTGGGGGCTGGCTCAGCCTTAATAGATTATCTCTGGGATAAAATAGCTTTCCCATATGGTGGAAGATTGTGGTGCTTTCCTTAGCTTGAATTCTGTGCACCACCTGTGACACGATGGGTCTTTCCTTGAGGTGGATTACCGAGATACCAGATTGTTTGGTTCAGTGCAAATACCTTCCAGCTTCATTGGTCCATATCATTTGAAGGATGTGACTTCTGAATGTTTACAAGTGTCAGAAATAGTGATACTGGCCTTCCTTTGCTGTCTTACTTCATCCTGGGTAGAACCTACAATCCAGTTTTCTGGACAGTAGCCCATTAAATTCAATGAGGTCTGTTTTCAAGAAAACACATAGGTTTGCATTGTATTGCTTTTTATATCTATAAACATACTCAGATTTGGATATAGAATAACATTGGACATATTTAGAATATTAAACCAAAGGAATTGCTATCATATGAAAAACAATGTTATTCTGACTAACCCTGATATTCTGATCTTATCTTCATGGTAATATTACACAGCTTTATCACTTTGATTGTTAATACCTGTAGGCCATTGTACTGAATTATCACACATACATAAAAAATAAAGAACAGATCAAATACCCTAAGAAATGAAAAAGTACATATACACTAAATAGTGGTGTGTGTGTGTGTGTGTGTAAGATTTATGCCATGATTTTGTAAAAGCTGTGATTGAACTGTGATTGACCAGTTTAAATACTCAATGAAAACTAGGACATAAATATTTAAAAATAAAACACTCTTAAAATGTAGCATTAAACAGAAGAAATATTTTAGAAAATATGCAATTAGATATAAGATTTTAATTTAAGAAAGTTATGAAAGTAAAGTAAATTAAGGCAAAAGAACTCAGTGAATGACTTTTAGATACCTTTATTGATTTCTGGAGGAAATAATGACATTGTAATGACATGACAAAAAATGCAAGCATTGGGAAGTAATACACAAATCTGATTCTTTTCCACCTTCTGATAGCTTTGGGTACTGAGATAAACAATGGGATGCCATAAGTAACTTATTGCTGTTCAAGAGTGAAGAAACAAAATTAATGCATCTACTCTTAAATTGACATTTAATACAAACTCTTATTCTTTTAATAGGGCTGTCTCAGGCCTTCAACATATTTAATAAACATATTCCTTATTTACTTAAAATAACACCATTGTTCCCAAAACACTAGTTATGTAGTACATAGTACATAGATGCTTTGGGATTTGTAGTAATTGTCTATTTTAAACTGTTATAAAAGAAAGCAAAAGTAAATAGCAAAAATGTGAAAACACCTGTAGTACAATACTGATATTTTTGATAACTATGTTAAAATGACATTTAATTTGAAGCATGGGGCCATCATTAAATTTTCTTTCATTTCAAATATTATTAAGATTATAGTTCTGAATTTCAGACTTAGAATAAAACAACTTCTTTGACACCACATTTATATGTGTGTATGTTGTACAACCTATTTAACAGCAAACGTTTTTAATAAGGTGAAATTGAAAAAAATCTAGCTCAGGTTTTAAACACTGAAATTAACAGGAATTCATTCTAAGAGTACCTAAGGAAATTGCAACTCTGTAAAGTGCTAGGTATTCTGTATTTGGTCAGTAAAGAGTTAACTTTTAATTACATGTACATTTCATTCTCATTATTTAGAACTTTAAAATGAGATTTTTTTTTAAAAAATGATGTTTTTGTATGCTTACATTCAAATGCTGTAATTATAGTTGTATGCAGGGCGGACCAGTTCCAACAATGGAAAACTGGAATGTGTCTTTGCCCTTCACTGTCTGCAGCCAAACTCTTTAAGACCAACCTGGAAAATTCTGCTCTGGATGTTTTCTGTTGAAGATCTTGAGCTTTCAATTACTCTCCCCAGGGTGGCATGTCTAGTGCCCGTAACCTTTTTGATTTAAAGCAAAAACTTTTGTGTTCCTTTTAATTCTAGCGTATTCATGTTTTGTATTTGATTTTTATAAAGCTACTATTATCACCAATTTAGTTTGTTTCTAACTGATCATTTAAATGCTACTGGTTTAAGGCTTATACGTGTATTTTGTAAAGCTATTCTTGTTTTTGTTTGGAGTCATTTTATGCTACTTTCAATATGGCTTTTTACATTGATTTTAAATTATTTATATATACTATTTTAGGAATATTTCTAACCACAAACTGGAGAATGAATTCAATTGAAATTAGTATGGTACAAATAGAACCTATCACAAGATGAGTACTGTGATGCATGTCTGATTTACCCTTTGTTCCTGATTCAGTAAGTGCTAACAGCCTTGCTTCTGCACACTGATCTTGCTGGTTGAACTGAAAACCTGATTTTATGGTTGCAATTTTGGAAATGGCAGTTTTATAAGTTTTCCTTTAGCCGGAAAGAACTTGTTTGAGAAAAGGGATTCTGAAGAAATGACTTGCTACGTTAGAACTATGTGAAGGATTGCTTAAATTGTGTTTTGTTGAGTGCCCACCCTGCCTCTTAAAAAGATTTCTTTAGGATAAATTGGTTTAGGAACTACTGAGGGCAGACAAATGATGTCACTGTATGATTGACATCATTATGACTTCTGCTGAACACCTATGCTCAGAAAATATTAAAAAGCATAACTATATTTTTTATCCCTTTAATGGGAGTAGGGAATCAGTCACACCATGCAGCTTCAGGCTGTTTTCATTTACTGACACAATAAACATAGCACAGTTGTGCAGAGTGAGCTTTAAAGCAATTTTTTTCATGGCCAGTTTATTGCAAGCAGCATACCCTCATTTGTAAAGTATTAAGCTCACTATGTAAATAGAAGCATTGTTAGATCTTTAGAACCCCATAGTATCTCTTCTTACTAAATATGTAATAGTCTGTATTAAATATATAGTGTTCTGTCAAAAAAACCCATTGATTTGAACATAGATTTGTTTTCTATGAAGGAATTCTATGACAAATACCTGTCTTTTGAGAATGTGTTACGACTTTGCCCAAAGAGATTATGCACTATATTTTTTCTTAGAAGCTTCTTACTTGGGGTCTTTACCTGCCATGTTATAATAGTCATTGTAACCTTAGTCCTGCTTCAGTGACAATCTTCTTCAATCCATTTTCATTACATTATACATTTGTTGCCAACCAATCTGGAGTATGAGAACATAGTATAACATCATCTACAGTTAATATAATCTCAATGATCAATTTTGGCCATGTCCTATTATTTCCCTAGCATACAATTATGGATATTGTTATATTCACTAGTTAAAGAATATATTCACTTATTTATACTTATTTATTAAATTTATCTGTCACACATATGTATATATTCGATTCTTGTTCCAAAAGGATTGACATTAGGTGTGAAATCATTCTATTTTATCTTCTCTGCTTTGAGTTCACTAGATTAGATTGAAATGAATGGGAATATTC